TTTCCCCAGTTGTTTCTCATGGCTGCATCTCTTTCCTGTTGATGGTGACTATGGAATTTGTTTCTTGTTGCTTCTTCTTAAACACTTCATGGAGAGGAGTAAATTCAGCTCGGGCTTTCATACATCACAAGAGGTACTAACCCATCAAGTAGCCCCTACAGAAAAAAATTAAGTTAGGAAAAAAGTTAGCAAACACAGGCAGCACTCCTCAAAAATCAAGAGACAGATAGTCTTAAAATAAAAACTTCAAACTGCCAAAAACTCTGCTGATCAAGGCTATTTAAAACAATAAATCCTGTCCAAGGTACAAACTGGCCAGCTTAACTATACGCTCCTTCCTCAGTTGATTTCCTTCAACAAACACTGAGAATGAGATTAGCCTGTTCTCAATCCAGCTTTGGTAATTGTTTGGAATTTTTGAAGCCCAGGTTACACCCTATGAAAGGTTCTTTATTTGTACCCTTTGCACAAACTACCAGTGTTAAGATATTCAGTATAATCTGACATTTTCTGGCACTCAACACAACTCTGGTCTCTTTTTCCCTTCCATTTCTCTGAAGCCCTGTTTCTTTAGTGAGTTTAAGAAAGAGAACTGTTAAGACACATGTGTACTCAATGAAACAAGAAAATATATAGCATCAAAAAAGCAAGAAAATATAGAGCAGGTCCCTACCCAGCTACCTGCTACCAGGGGACCCATCACTTCCGTGTTACGAAACAAAATTTTTAACTACATTGCAGAAGTTAAAAAAAAAAAATTTAAGAAAGGAGGAATGACTTGTCATTCTAAAGTCAACACCTCATGGAGCTACTCCAGAAATTAACTACCAGTACCTCCAAATATCAGGTTTCAGCTATTCTGAATAACATAGATGGACTGAGAAACAGAGAGGGGGGAAAAAAAATTGAAAATGCTGCATTTGGATTTTGCATAGCCTGAAAGCTCCAGATCTTTCCTACTTTTTGATCTGTAAATATAGATGTATTAAAACGTCACATATATTGTATGCTTCAATGTTACGTTCAGTTTTCCAGAAACAAAAAAAACCACCTGAGACATCATCTTTACTTTAAGACTGCTTTGGATGTTTCTGAACACTAGCTACTGCTGCCATCAGTTCTTCTAGTTATGATCTCTCATGTAAACTATCACTATAAAGTACTCATTTGCCTTTCTTCAAGTTCTTTGATACTTGCTTTTTCCTCAAAGCCCGACTTTGTAATTACTTCTACTGACCAGTACATACTCAGTCTACCTTAAAATTCATTGTAAGTCAGACTCATCTTCTGACATACCAGGAACTGTCACCTTTTTTTAAACGCAGCACAATCCTACAGTAGCTGGCCCCAAAAGCATCCCACCTTATTCAAGGTTGCTTGTTCCAAAAATGCGTTGAAAAAAGCAACTTATAGCCAAGCTGCAGATCTTTAGCATACCTCATTTTATTTTCTGCTACTCTTAAATTTAACATAGGCACACATGAGCCACAAAAGAGAATAAAAGCTGAAAGAGTATTAAATCACTTACGGTAATTTCATCCTCATGAAAACTCTGGCCATGAAGAAGCTCAAAAGCACGCTGACAAATCCAATAAAGAGCAAAAGAAACCTATTCAGCTTGGGGATATTTGGGGCATTGGATCGATCCAGAATTATGAATCCTAGGCCGCCCATTGTGAAGAGGAAGCTGGATGCGAGCCCTTCCATAATATATTGCCCATTTACCCTAAAGAAAAAAAAAAGGGGGGAAGGGAAGAAGAGAGAGTCAGAAAAAGATGAGTTTTAAAGAAAATAGTGACATTTCAAACCCCATCTACTCAACCTGCTTTAGCTGTACAAATACGCAGAATTTGATGGCTGACTTTCTTACAAAAAGTAGGTATGGAAACTGACATTATGCAGTTACATTAAGGCTTTAATATGTAATTTATCTCTAGGACTGATAGTCTGCAAGGTGACCAGTCAAGCGTACTAGTGGTCTTGTACATAATAGTGTATACTAATGGCTACCATGCAAGCTCATCAGTTTTCAGAAGTATCTAGCCCCAAGTAGCACCTGGTTTCACAAATGACTCAAGGCATGGAACCATGACCCCTGGGCCACTGAGCTTTCCAAGTCTTATTTCCACCCCGATGTTTAGGCAGCAGTGCCAGAATCTCTGTACAAATCCCACTCGAAGCACTATGCCAGTGCATGAAGCACATCTACTGGTTCCAGCACACAGCAAAAGCGGTTCTTGCCTGCAGTATGTTTTGCTACCGGCTTGCTGAGCCTGCACACAGATTGTGGGGACCCAGCCTGAACGTGCTCCGGCTCTGTCAGTCCACGCTGCCAGATTTCCTTCTCACAAAGTGCAGACAGAGAGAGTGGAAGCTGAGATGCAGAAAGAATATTACAGCTGGATCACGAGTCTCCTGCTTCCCACAGTCACTGAACCTTTTTCCTATCCTTGTAATTAGCAATACTAGCAACCTCATAAAATTGGCATGGATGAAACTACTGTGGATGCTAATACAGAAATGAAGATTATCATTATTGTCTCATATCCTGAAAACAAACAATTTCATCTTCTTTCATGTTGTTTTCACTGAATTGTACTAAAGTGCTATCAACTCCCTGCAGTAGCCTGATTCATCCACGCTGCAACAATCCAAGCCAGTTTGAGACATATACTACATCTAGTCCAAGTCAAAATCTGTGCATCAGACATGTCACAGACCTTGCAGATTCAAAGAACTTTTTTGGTATTTAACAAAAACATGATTTGTTTCCACACACATAAAAAACACAGTTACAAATGTAGATTTAACCCTCTTCAGACCAATTTGTTACTAAGCAGTGTCTAGCTTATTTTCAATAATAGAAGCAGAAGACTCAAAGAGGACACTGTTGTTACACATTTGTAACTGTGCTCCCCACCCACAGACACAAGAGTCCCAATTACATCAGAGTTTAAAAGGCCAGAACCGAAAGTTCCACAAACATTACGTATGCTGCTATGAAATACGACCAAATGTGTCTGCATCCGCTATAAAACTCAACTTTAAAAGCAAGGGTTTGGAAGAAAGAGAAGTACTGCCAGCTCAAAACTTTTTTCTTACCAGACTTTTCTGGTAACTTTTTAAAAAGTTTTAGAAGGACTGAGTTTTTCTACTTCCATTGATTTAAATACTGCCTTTTTTTTTTTTTTTTTTTAAACATTTGCAAACTAAGGACTAATATAGAACAGATCCTGCCTTGCACAGAGAGCTCAAAAAAAAAAAGCAGATGCACAGCTCCGTAGGACGGGTTTATTCACTTGTGCTTAGACACTTGCAGCACCTCGCTTGCAAGGGCAGAGCCCGGCTCCCACCTGTATGCCAAGAAGGCCACCGGCCTCTGATGCCCATGTTCGTCTGTCATCGACCCCACGCTGGGAGGTTCCACAATCACGTCGTAGATAATCCCTGTGGGGAGAAGAGCAAGGACGGCCTTTGACTCACAGCAGCAGACAGCAAGAACCGCTTTAACACCGCAGGGACGCTCGGAGTTAGCCGAGGTTCGCCTTCTACGACCGACTTGGAGCCGGAGAAGCGGCCAGTAG